ACAAATAAGAAAGAGAGGTAAATAAACATTCATTAGATTTAAAAATATTATTAAAAATATTATCTGTGGATTCATTTCTCAACTGAAGTACCCATTGTTAAAAATATTAACAATAATAGTCTCTTTCCTAAATGTAAGTAAATTGTGGTTATTTAGTTTTCCCTAACACATGAATAGCATTTGGTTTTCCTTTCTCTTATCCCACAACTGGGATGACAGAAAATGCTGTGTGGAACCCAAGCATCACATTGATGCTGCTTATTCTTTTCTTTTCTCCTCTCTTTTCTCCTCTACCATTTCCACTCAGTCTTCAACCAATTTTCCCACATTTATATACAAATTTGCACTGTAAATGCAAGTAAGCACAAACCATATTACTCAAGTAGTAAGAGGGTCACAGATTTTTTTCTAAGAAAGTATTTTTAGTTTTAATTTTATTACTTTTAATTTATATATGATACCACAGAGATCAATAATTCTGCATAAATGCCTTCATATAATAATATCATGCTTGCTTTTTTTTTCCCCCTTTCTTGCCTGGTTCTCCTCCCTTTTGCTTTTCCTATTTTGGCTACACTATCACCAAGGAACCCATGTCAACACTTATGTGTGTGCTTCATATTCCTGTCTGTACTCATAATGCTATACAGCTCTATGTACATATATGACTAGTTATACACACATATACAAACTTTTATGTTCACTCTTCTGTATTTTATTTTCTTGCTTACTACCTCTCTTGCAGTCTTCTGCCATAGGTCTAATTCATTTTTTTTTAAATAGCAATGCATTATGTGACTATATCACAATATTTTTAACCATTTCACTATTGAGAGATGTTTATTTTTAGTTGTTTTTTGTGTGTGTGGCTATAAGCATTACTGCAGTAAATAACACTCACCTTTATAAACTGGATTTTAAATATCTTTGATATAGATTCCTAGGACTGGAATTGCTGGGTCAAAGGGTATATGTCTTTTAAATATTAATAGATATGGCAAATTGCTTTTTAAACATGTTATCAAATTGAATATTTATATCAGCAATGTACTCCTTTTATCTACATACATGCCAGCAGATAGTACAATCTTTTCTAAAATTTTGGCAGTCTGATAGAGATTACTTTGATTTGCTTTCCCACTGTTCTAGTGAATTTGAGAACATTTTCATATGATTATAGGTCATTTAGATTTTTCTCTTTTGTGAATTTTCTCTTCACAATTTTTTCTATTATTATGTCTTCACGTATTTTTCTATTGCTTGTCTTCATACTGCTAGTTTGTAAGAGCTTTTTCGCTTTCTATGTTAACCCTTTATCTCTGATGAAAATATTTTGAATATTGTCCCAGAACTCTTTTGTCCATCCACTTTATTTGTGGTATTTCTGTTCATATATTTATATTTTGGCCATATGGCCATATATATGGCCATTTGTGGTATAATGGTATGCATATACCAAATATATACATATACATTATATGTAGCATACATAATATATATGCCAAATATATATATATATATATGTATATATATACTGAAATACCAAAATACAAAATACTAATTGTTTCTGCATCATTTAATTTATTAAAACAAAAACAAACAAAAAACAGGAAAATCTACATACTTCTCTTATTCCATTAAGCAAACAATTATATTAAGTAATCTCGTATACTGAGATCTATTTTTGGATTCTTTGTTCTACTAAATAATTTTTATTGTATGTTCTTATAGCTGCTTCTGATAGAAAATGTTCCATTATTATTTCTTTGTGTAATTTTCTTGGTTATTGTCAGTTAATTATTCTTTCAAATTAACTCTGTTATTTTATCCAGTTCAAAGGGGGAAAAACAAAACAAACAAAACATTCCATTGGGATTTTAACTGGAAATGAATTAAATCCACATATTGTTGGGAGACCAGTTTTAAAAATTTTTTATCAAAATAAAACTAACATACAATATTATATTAGCTTCAGGTGTATACCATAGTTATTCAACATTTATATACATAAAGAAGTGATCACGTTGTAAGTCTAGCAACTATCTGATACTGTACTATGCTATCACATTATTGACTATATTTCTATGCTGTACATTACATCTTTATGACTTATTAGTTTTATATCTGGAAATTTGGACCTCTTATTCTCCTTCACCTTTCCTCTCCTTTTTAATTTTTCAATTACAGTTGACATTCAATATTATTTCATATTAATTTCAGGTGTACTGAGACTTCACATCTAAGAACATGGTTTCTCATGCTTTTAATTAAGATTTTATAGCTGCTTTATATACGTTGAGCGTCTTGTTCTATAAAATTTCTTCCTACATTTCATAATTTTAGCTACTTTTATATGTGGAATATTTTTTTCTTATTTTTATTTCTACGCCTTTAGTGATAGAGAAGAGAAAAGCTATTAACTTCTGTCTAGTCACCTTAAAAGTTTTATTAATACTGTGCTTATTTCCTTTAATCTTGTGGGTTTTCTATATATACTGTCATAGTATTAGCAAAGTATAATTGTTACTTCTTATTTTCTAGTGTTTATAGTAGATATTTCTTTTATGTTGCTCATTTGCTAAACCTTTAAAACAATGTTTTTTTTTAAGGAATGGTGATAGCAGGCATTTAAAAATTTTAATTTAATAAAAATTACTAACTTTTTGAAACCTAGGATATCAAAAATAGTTAGTTTGGGGTAAACAATTGAGGATATTTCTTTACTTTTGTTTTATTTAAATTGTTTCTAAAAGTAGCTGCTGAATTTAATCATGTTACTTTCAGTGACTACAACTTGATTGCCAGAAGTTTTCCTTTAATTTACTTATGTACGGGATTATATAGACAGATTTCCTTGTAGTTTTGTGCATGTGTTTACTTGCTACTCTTGTAAATTCCTAGAAAAATATTTACCAAAATGTGTCAAATGTTAATTGCTATTACTTAATAAAGGGTTCCACAGTCAAATTATTTTGAGAAACACTGGACCAAATGAACTTACATGGTATTTCCTAAGACAATTAAAGCTAATGTGCATTGTTAAATTGCAAGAGGAGATTAAGGTACAAAGTGTTTAGTGAACTTTATTTGACCATCCTTTTTCATGGACTGTCCCATGGTACATACTACATTAGAGCAGAATAAACTTTGGGAAATGCTTACATGGAGATCATATACTAAGATTTCCAAATATTTTCAGCATATGAGACCAATTACATCATGAGGGCAGGTGTGATAAATTAAAAGTCAAAACTATAGGATGCTGAACCATTTGGGGAAGAAGAATTTAACTAACATTTGTGCCAATTTCCTCACTTTTATTTGTACCAGAATCTTGCCTAAGCAGCCCAAATTATTGATGTTTGGCATTAAACAGACCCATCTTAGAGCATAGTTCATGGGCTGAATGTAATCCCAGACTCAGCCAACTATTAAAGTAAGATTCTGGGAAATAATGCAACTTAACCTGTACCCACCCTCTATTTTGTGACCCACAGAATCATGACTATCATGACATGATGACATGGATGGGCTATCATAACTAGGGCTTGCACATGGTACTCACCGATGACATATTCTACCCTGAAGAGATCTCGTCTGGGGTCGTATGGACGATTGAAGTCAATCTGGATGTAGAAGGACTGTCCTCTACGTACAATTAGCTTCTTGTTATCATACTTGTCAGTGTGGTGATCCACTTTGTTGGAGTCCCATTTCTCTTTGAACAGGTGAACTCCAGTGACATTAAGGTAGTCTATGTACAAAGGAAACAATTGAAGAAAACCATTTAGTGACTTTGGTTTAAATATAAACTCAAAAAACAAGATTATTTTTTCTGAAGAAGAGGAATCTATACAAGGGGCTCTATACAGGGGGCTGGTAGGTTTGGGAGTCAGTCTCTTGTGACATTTTTGTCTTCAAAGAGGGTTTCTGACCACATGGCACTACTTTGAGATAGAGCAGTGCTGATGATGTTTATTGTACAGGTCTTGATACAGAGAAACTTGGACTAACCTCCAAGCATTCACAGTGCCAGTCTCATGCAGTTTTTCCTTATGTCAGGTGTTTCCCAGGTGACTACCATCTTCCTATGTCACTAACTAAGGATAAGTAAGGAATAGCCACTTCAATTTTCTTATCTTTTAAGGGGAGAAATCAAATCTGACAAACCTTCAAAGGATGTTTCTAAGGACAAAATTGATCGTTAATCAAAAACCCTCTTTTTATTTTAAGAAGGGTCAAATACTACTCCTTTTGTAATTTTTAAAATAGATCTTGTGCCTCAAAGGTAGGAAAGAGAGGGAACAGGTGTGGAGAAAGAATACTAACATTTCTATGAGATAGTTATGATTGTTTTCACTTTGCACATGCAGAAACAAGCCTCACATTTCCCTAACTACTAATCAACCAATCTAGAAGTCAAACCCTGATCTGAAGCAAAAATCTGAACATTTTTTGGCTAATTTTTGGAAACAGGGCTGTAAATCAGTAATACATTTATCTGAGATATGATAGCACTGGATAAAATTTAGATCTTCTGCTTTTTCCCCATTCCTTCTGCAAATACTCACCAAATATGAAGGTAACTCAACTACCCATCTACCCTGTAGTTAAGAAGATCTAGTCTAGAGACAGGTTTCTGCATATAGGTTTGCAGTCCTAATGGAGCACTGGGGAGAAAAGCCTGGGTGGGGGATGAACTGGCCTCTTGCCTTCCCTCTATTTCCTTGACCCTGCTGTCTACATGGCTTGCCTTCACATCTGTGAACACAGTGTGCACAGCTGCTGAACTTGTGCTGAGGTATCACTCTGCAAGATTCCAGTGACTTCCTTTGCTTTCACATAGGAATCCTGTGTAGAGTACCTGGTTCCCTCCAGCTTCATTTTTCCCCCCAGATTTTATTGGGGAACTGGGGGAGGAGAACAGTGCTGGGGAGTCAGGGAAGCAGAACAGACAAGTTGCTGTCCTTTTGTTCTTCAGCCTAGTTGTGGAGGATGTTGCTTCACTGGCCCATGTTGGTGTTATCATTGCAGTCTTCCTGGGCGAGGCAGTTGCTCGCTGGCCATTGGACTGTCTCTCACAGCGGCTCACAGCAGCTCACGAAAGCTCACGCCCACTGCTGGCCAGCCCCACTGCAGCCTACGCCATCACCAGCGACTCACAGTAGCCCAGCTCCAGGCCGAGCTGTTATTCACCATCTTAGTTGTAGAGGGCACAGCTTACTGGCACATGTGGGAATTGAACTGACAGCCTTGTTGCTCAGAGCTTGGGCTCTTACCAACTGAGACTCAGCCAGTCCCCCTCCAGCTTCATTTTTTTCCAATTGGGAAAACCCAGAAGTTGAGCTCATTAAAATAGTCTCCAGTTCTAAAGTCTAGGAGTCCCTAAAATACTCTTAATCAATTGAATTAAAATACTCTTAATTACTTGAACTTTAATCAAAAGTTCAAGTAATCCTAAATTGGAATCTCAAGTCTCATAATTACTTAGGTAAGGGACATTGCCTCTTAGAAGCTGAATTTTCTCAACTTTAAAATGAGGATACTAATACCTCGTGAATTTCTATGAAGATTCAATGACATAATGATGCAATATGTTTGGCACTATGCCTGCCACATAGTGGGGCCATAGGCTTACTTGTGGCCCTCTGAATATGAACTCTGATGGAGCCAATTTACATTTTACATGGCGTGGTGCTCAATGGGCTATTCTGACTGCAACACTACAGCAAACAGAAAGTGCAAGATGCAGTTTTATTTTTGCCTCATTTCAGAACCCTGCCATAGTACATGGTCCCCTGAAGGGCACTTTCCTTCCATTATGCTGTGGGCTAAAGATGTTTAATTCTTTAGATCTCTCTCCTCCAAGCTGCATTTCCCCTAAGTTCTCTGGCCTTATTAAGGTCACAATCCCCAGTGTTAAACCAGCTTCAGAAAGAACTGGGGAGGAGGGGGACAAGATGGTGGAGTAGGAAATTCCTGAGCTCACCGATTCCCACAGACACACCAAAACTACAACTACCTATAGAACAACTATTTATGAGACTGACCAGAAGACTAGCAGAACAGATTTTCCTACACCTAAGGAATAGAGAAAAAGCCACATTGAGAATGGTAGGAGGGTCTAGTCAGGACCCACATCCCCTGTGTGGTGTCCCACAAGTAGGAGGGATTTCATAGCCATGGAGGTCCCCCCACTCCGAGGAATGATGGATCTGAGCCCCACATTGAGCTCCCCAGTGCAGAGGAAGTTGTACTAGGAAGAGGAGTCCATATAAGATCTAGTTATGAAAACCAGTGGGGCTTATGTCCAGGAGACCTGACAGGCTTTAGGAAACCAAGACCCTACTCTTAAAGGGCTTGAGCACAAACTTGCTTGCTTGGACTTCTAGCACTGAGGCAGTGTTCTGAAAAACTCCTAGGTCATACTAAAGGAGATACATGGAATAATTTTAGGGTGAGTGTTGGAGGAGCAGGAATCTATTGAATTGAAGCTTTCTCTGGGGATAAAAATACTGGCAAAGGCCCTTTTTTTCCCCACTCTTATCTGGCCTGGAGCTGGCAGGCACCATTTCTAACACTCTCCATTAACTTTGCCAATACTGTTCATCCTGCCTCAGTGTTCTCCTGAGGTCCCACACTGCCCAATCTGCCTCCACCACAGCACCCCTCCAAAGCAGCTCCCACACTGCCAGACGTGATAGGTGGCCTCTACTGGCACTGGTGCCCCTTCAAAGCAGTCTCAGTCTGAGACCACCACACCCAGTGGACGTCTAAATGGACCATACATCATAATCAAGTGGGATTTATTCCAGAGATGCAAAGGTAATTTAATATCTATAATCAATCAACGTGATAGAACACAATAACAAAATGGAAGATTAAAATCATATGATTATTTCCATAGATGCAGAAAAAGATTTGACAAAATTTAACATTCATTTATAATAAAAACTTCCAACAAAGTAGAGATAGAGGAAACATATATCAACATAATAAAGGGCATACATGACAAACTCATAGCTAACATCATACTCAACATTGAAAAGTTGAAAGCTTTTTATCTATGATTAGGAACAAGACAAAGATGCCCACCCTCACAGCTTTTATTTAATAAGGCATTGGAAGTCTTAGACACAGCAGACAAGAAACAAAAAAGTGTTCAATTAGAAAGGAAGAAGTAAAACTGTCACTGTTTGCAGATGACATGATGTTATATATAGTAAATCCTAAAGACTCTTCCAAAGAGTTGTTATAACTAATAAATAAATTCAGTAAAGTTGCAAGACAAAATTAATATACAGAAACCTGTTGCATTTCTATACACTAATAGCAAAATATTATAAATAGAAATTAAGAATATAATCCCATTTACTACTGGGATAATTTTAACCAAGGTAGTGAAAGACATACACTCTGAAAATTATAAGACATTGATAAAAGACACTGAAGGAGACACAAATAAATAGAAGTATATGCAATGCCCATGGATGAGAAGGATTAATATTGTTAAAATGTTCATACCACCCAAAGAAATCTACAGATTCAATGCAATCCATATCAAAATAAAAATGGATTTTTCATAGATCCAGAACAATAATTGTAAAATTTGTATGAAACCACACAAGATCCCAAATAGGCAAAGCAATCTTGAGAAAGACAACATTGGAGGTATCATACTCTCTTATTGCAAACTATACTGCAAAGCTATAGTAATCAAAATAGTATGATACTGGCACAAAAGCAGACATATAGATCAATGCAACAAAATAGAGAGCCCAGGAATAAACTCACTCATATGATCTAATAATCCATGACAAAAGAAGCAATTATACACAATGGGGGAAAAGCCTCTTCAATACATGGTGTTGAGAAAACTGGAGAGTTACATGAAAAAGTGAATCTTGACCCCTTTATTATACTGTATACAAAAATAAACTCAAAATAGATTAAAGATTTAAATGTAAGACCTGAAACCACAAAACTCCTAGTGGAAAACATAGGCAGTCAACATTTTTGACATTGGTCTTAACAATAATTTTTTACATAAGTCTCCTTGGGCAAGGGCAGCAAAAGCAAAAATAAACCAATGAGACAACATCAGACTAAAAAGCTTTTGCACAGCAAAGGAAACAACAAAATGAAAAGGCAATGTAATGAATGGAAGAATATATATGTAACTGATATACCCAATAAGAGGTTAATATCCAAAATATATAAAGAATACATACAACTCCACTTCATAAAAACAAACAATCCATTTAAAAAATTGGGCAGAGGACCTGAATAGACATTTCTCCAAAGAGGACACACAAATAGCCAACAGATGCATGTTGAAAAGATGCTGAACATCACTTATCATCAGGGAAATGCAAATCAAAACTTAATGAGATATTACCTCACACAGTCAGAATGGCTATTACCAAAAAGACAACAAATAGTAAATGCTGGTGAGGATGTGAATAAAAGGGAAACTTAAGGCATTTTTGATGGGACTGTACATTTGTACAGCCACTATGGAAAGTAGTATGGAGGTTCTTCAAAAAATTAAAAATTGAACCATCATACAACCCAGCAATTCTACTTCTGAGTGTTTATCTAAAGAAAACAAAAACACTAATTTGAATGAATACATGCACCCCTATGTTTATTTCAGCATCATTTACAATAGCCAGGATATGGAAGCAACCTAAGTGTACATCTACACATGAATGGATAAAGAAGATGTGGCATGTGTGTTTGTGTGTGTGTGTG